TATTTGAATGCTTCAGCTCACACACACACACAGTCGAAAATACACACACACCCACACACACACACGCATTCATTGGGCGCCAAGGGCGCGCTAGTCAAACAAAAGGCAGCTGCTTTTGTCACATGCAGTACAGCAAGAGCTCCGCCCGCAGCCTCCCGCCCCCTCCTTAACTCGCCACCCACACACAAAGGCCAAAAGCATATAGAGGCGGGCTGGAGCAGGAGGCGGCACAGTGGGGCTAGGCGCTCGCATGCCACTGTGCGTGCCAAGAAACAACGAGGCATAGGCATGTCCTTGCACTCGCCCCTACTCGCGCCTACAGCCAGACAGCGTGCAGGCAACTATGTGTGTGTGTCTGTGTGTGTGTGTGTGTGCCCATATATGGCTGTATGTGTACTTAACAATTCACAATCTTTTTTGCCATCCGCAGCATTATCTTTGTGTCATACTATGCACGGAATGGTGCGGAATGTTTTTGAGCCAAGCTCACAATTTGCCTCAAATTTCAGAGGCGTTAAAGACGCATGGCGGCGCGGCCAGGGCGGCAGGGGCGGGATGGGGGCAGAGTCCTGGTCACCAGCGAATGCTCAAGGCACAAATGCCATTTAGGAAATGCGCGCATGCTGTGCAAATGCATTCGAGGCTCTTAACGAACTCGAGCACAAAAATACTTGAAAAATGGCATTCATCAAGCAGACCGAAAGGAATTTCATTGCATGGAACAAGCCCTAAATGGAGATTACCGAGGGATAGAGGGGCGCGCGGAGAGCAACAACGATATTACACAATTCCATTTAGTCAACAATGCTCAGGGAATGGAGTGTATCAAGTGATTCAATGATGGACTTACTGCCCGATTGACTCAGACTATGATTGATTGATTTATGGGCTGTGTAAATGACTGATTGGCTGACTGATTGAGTGTTTAACAGACGGATTAATGATTGACAAGTTGATTGACTTAGAGGATTGGAGGTGGACTAGTGCTTGATTGATTGACGGATGCCTTTTGCAAAGAGAGTGGTTCACAGACTGATTGATGACTGTCTAGTTGAGTTGATTGATTCAGAGGATTGGAGCACAATTAATATCTGATTGATTGTCTCATGCCTTTTGCTAACTTTGATTGATGATGATTGATGATTGCTCAACTTGATGAATGCCTGATTGACTAAGGGAATAATTGAGCTAGTGGCTGATTGACTGACTGATTAACGTTCTAACTGATTGACTGATTTATTGAATGATTGACAGCAAGATTGAGTGACTAATTAACTTAAATAGCGATTGAGCTACTGTCTGATTGACCGCCTGATTGAGTTGGTAACTGGTTGATTAACTGACTTTTTAAACAATAAAGAACCCGATTGATGATTGATTGTCTGATCAACTTACATGCAGATTGATTGGCCAAGGTATTGAATGACTTAGATCCAGCTTGACTATTGACTTATGCTTGGTTTACTTAATGAATAGCTGACTTAGTCTATGATGAACTCACTGACTGACTAACATGTTGATTGACTAACTGATTAAAACTCCAACTGATGGATGGCCCATTGATCTTTCGACTGAGCCTCCAATTGACCAAATGATTTGATTTGCTTTGATTTGCCAATGCTCCAGCTCAGTAAACCTTTGAGTTGAATTATCAAAAATGCCACAGCTCAACAATGGTCAAATGAATTTCAAGTGTTGTTAACAGCACTACAACTTACTATACACTTTTTACTGCTGAACGAGCACTTGGGATTCCTGCCTTTTGTTTGATTGAACAGCAGGCTGCTGAAATATGGAAAGACCTGAAGTCGATGTCAAGCGGCGACTGCAATATGCAGGAGCATCTTGTCAAATTGGCCACAGAAATGACCTCTTGGTTGTCATTACCATACCACACACACACACACACACACACACACACACACACACACACACACACACACGTGCACACACATACAATGGAATGAGCTTGCGGTGCGACTGATGAAATGCGATGTTGGCTGCAAAATGGAAATGGAGCTGGAGCTAAAGTCGATGTAGAGACAGCGCCAGCAGGTGGCCTTGGGGGCGTCGCATTAGTGGGTTGGGCGGGCTGCGGCTACGTGGAGCGCTGGCGAACTTCACTTAATGTCAACTTAATTGCATTGTTTCAGCCACAAATTACAAAACGAGTTTTGCACAAGGTAACAAAACGTCGTCAGCCCCACGGACTTGCCCCCTGCTGCTGCTGCTGCTGCTGCTGCTGGTCCTGTTGATTCAGGGTGCTGGCACCTGGCTGCTGGCCCCTAGCTAAATAAACACTGAGAAAAATATGCATGTCGAACATGATTGGCATTGAATGCAACAGCGGGCATGAGAGCCCAAAACTTTGCAAAGAAGCAAAAATGACTTTAGAAATGATTTCTCTTAAAAAAAAAAAGAAATGATTTCCTGACAGAGAGAAAGAGAGAGAGAGACAGAGAGAGAGCTGTCATTCTAGTTTTTGTTATACTTCGAGCTCATTGAAAATGAAAAATCAGTGTGAAATAGTAATAGAAGTAGGCCTGGCAGTTAAAATCAAGTATATATATATATATAAGGGTTACGAACAGAATCAATTTCAGTTGCGTGCGTGTGCTCTACGAGTCTAAAGCTTCGACAGAAAAAAAAAATTAAATAATAAAAATTCAATTTCAATTTTCAATTTTTCAATTTCAAATTTCAAAAAGTGCCTTTAGCAGTAAAATTAAATTTCAATTTTCAATTTTTCAATTTCAAATTTCAAAAAGTGCCTTTAGCAGTAAAATTAGTTCTGCAGCTGTAATCCTGCACGGTGACTCTGAAATCGTAAGTATTCCAAGTGTAAATCCAGCAACATCATGGCCTAGCCTAAGAAAAGTAGTCAAGCTGCAGATTTCTTTCAGTGTACTTCTGCATGGCACAACAATAACAGCTTAATGTTTGAGTATGTGTTGTGTGTGTATGTGTGTGTGTGTGTGTGCGTGTGTGTGTGTGTGTGTGTGTGTGTGTGTGTGTGAAAGAAAGAGAGAGAGCGAGAGAGAGAGACAGAGAGAGAGCTGTCATTCTAGTTTTTGATATACTTCGAGCTCATTGAAAATGAAAAATCAGTGTAAAATAGTAATAGAAGTAGGCCGGGCAGTTAAAATCAAGTATATATATATATATATAAGGGTGACGACCAGAATCAATTTCAGTTGCGTGCGTGTGCTCTACGAGTCTAAAGCTTCGACAGAAAAAAAAAATTAAATAATAAAAATTAAATTTCAATTTTCAATTTTTCAATTTCAAATTTCAAAAAGTGCCTTTAGCAGTAAAATTAGTTCTGCGGTGACTCTGAAATCGTAAGTATTCCAAGTGTAAATCCAGCAACATCATGGCCTAGCCTAAGAAAAGTAGTCAAGCCGCAGATTTCTTTCAGTGTACTTCTGCATGGCACAACAATAACAGCTTAATGTTTGAGTATGTGTTGTGTGTGTATGTGTGTGTGTGTGTGTGTGTGTGTGTGTGTGTATGTGTGAAAGAAAGAAAGAGAGAGAGAGCGAGAGAGAGAGACAGAGAGAGATAGAGCTGTCATTCTAGTTTTTGTTATACTTCGAGCTCATTGAAAATGAAAAATCAGTGTAAAATAGTAATAGAAGTAGGCCTGGCAGTTAAAATCAAGTATATATATATATAAGGGCGACGAACAGAATCAATTTCAGTTGCGTGCGTGTGTTCTACGAGTCTAAAGGTTCGACAGAAAAAAAAATTAAATAAAAAAAAACTTAAATTTCAATTTTCAATTTTTCAATTTCAAATTTCAAAAAGTGCCTTTAGCAGTAAAATTAAATTTCAATTTTCAATTTTTCAATTTCAAATTTCAAAAAGTGCCTTTAGCAGTAAAATTAGTTCTGCAGTTGTAATCCTGCACGGTGGCTCTGAAATCGTAAGTATTCCAAGTGTAAATCCAGCAACATCATGGCCTAGCCTAAGAAAAGTAGTCAAGCTGCAGATTTCTTTCAGTGTACTTCTGCATGGCACAACAATAACAGCTTAATGTTTGAGTATGTGTTGTGTGTGTTTGGGTGTGTGTGTGTGTGCGTGTGTGTGTGTGTGTGTGTGAAAGAAAGAGAGAGAGAGCGAGAGAGAGAGAGACAGAGAGATTTTTTTTTTTTTTTTTTTTTTTTTTTTTAAGAGAAATTATAAAATGTATTTATTTACAGTTTAGCGCACCGCTACCTAATTGGTAACTTAATCTAAATAGATATTTACAAAAATTTATTTACTTAAAAGCTATATTATTATTAATATTATATGCTATATTTTTGTCAATTCTGGAGGTGTTAGGTCAAGACCCGATCCAATAGGTCTTGAGGGAGAGCTGTCATTCTAGTTTTTGTTATACTTCGAGCTCATTGAAAATGAAAAATCAGTGTAAAATAGTAATAGAAGTAGGCCTGGCAGTTAAAATCAAGTATATATATATATATATAAGGGTGACGACCAGAATCAATTTCAGTTGCGTGCGTGTGCTCTACGAGTCTAAAGCTTCGACAGAAAAAAAAATTAAATAATAAAAATTAAATTTCAATTTTCAATTTTTCAATTTCAAATTTCAAAAAGTGCCTTTAGCAGTAAAATTAGTTCTGCGGTGACTCTGAAATCGTAAGTATTCCAAGTGTAAATCCAGCAACATCATGGCCTAGCCTAAGAAAAGTAGTCAAGCCGCAGATTTCTTTCAGTGTACTTCTGCATGGCACAACAATAACAGCTTAATGTTTGAGTATGTGTTGTGTGTGTATGTGTGTGTGTGTGTGTGTGTGTGTGTGTATGTGTGAAAGAAAGAAAGAGAGAGAGAGCGAGAGAGAGAGACAGAGAGAGATAGAGCTGTCATTCTAGTTTTTGTTATACTTCGAGCTCATTGAAAATGAAAAATCAGTGTAAAATAGTAATAGAAGTAGGCCGGGCAGTTAAAATCAAGTATATATATATATAAGGGCGACGAACAGAATCAATTTCAGTTGCGTGCGTGTGTTCTACGAGTCTAAAGGTTCGACAGAAAAAAAAATTAAATAAAAAAAAACTTAAATTTCAATTTTCAATTTTTCAATTTCAAATTTCAAAAAGTGCCTTTAGCAGTAAAATTAAATTTCAATTTTCAATTTTTCAATTTCAAATTTCAAAAAGTGCCTTTAGCAGTAAAATTAGTTCTGCAGTTGTAATCCTGCACGGTGGCTCTGAAATCGTAAGTATTCCAAGTGTAAATCCAGCAACATCATGGCCTAGCCTAAGAAACGTAGTCAAGCTGCAGATTTCTTTCAGTGTACTTCTGCATGGCACAACAATAACAGCTTAATGTTTGAGTATGTGTTGCGTGTGTATGGGTGTGTGTGTGTGTGTGCGTGTGAAAGAGTATACCCGTAAAAAGAATCAATTGTGTGTGACCAAATTAAGTTCACTGACTCGCACACACAGCGAGAGATCTCGTCCAGGTCGAGCGTATGTATGTGTGTGTGTGTGTGTGTGTGTCGCCATTGTCAAGTGGTAGCCAAACAGGGATTCATTTGAATTGAGTGGTGCCAGCAATGGACCAAAGCACGAGCTCTGGCTGCGGCTGGCCGGAGTGAGTGAGTGAGGTTAGACGGCGACGAGGTTAAACCTTTGTCCAGCTCCCAGTCGCTAGCTAAATACGACTCCATCTCCCCAACCCCCCTCTCCGTCACTCCGTCTCTCCCTGTCCACCTGGTTGGTAAATTGCAGGTGTTGGGTTCGCCTGCTGTTTCGTTGTGCACAACGAAATTGAAAACAGTGCAGAGCCATTGCATACGCTGAATGCGTTACTCGAGCAGCCAAATGAACACACACACACACACACACACACAGACAGACTAATGTGCATGTGTGTGTGATTGGAAGTCACTTCATTCCCCCTTTCATTTCGTGACCCGCTCTCTACTGTCGCCGTGTAACCAGCTCCTCATAATTGAGCGAGAAATTTCCCAATGACGTCTTCAAGCAAGTGCTGTAAAACGCATTTTGTGCTCTTATCCAACACTTTTCTAGTCGCCCAAACAGTGTTGCAAGTGACCCTAGACAGAGCTCACGCAAGCCAAACGTATTCAGGCACTCGAAGTCATTGTTTTACTCTTAGCCAACACTGTATCGAAAAGTGTTGGGAAAGCCTGAAGAAAGCCAACCATCCAAATGAGCACTGAATGACAAAAGTCGCCTGAGTAGTTTTTGCTTTTACAGTATTTTAGTGTAAAGACTTATATATAGCAGACTATGGGTCTGGTATCAGCATTTGATTTGATCTCAGTCGCCTTAGCGAATATGCCTGTCGACGTCAGTTGAGCTAGCAGTAATATCGTCAGTATTATTCACAGAAAAATAGACAGGAGTACATAGACGGGAATTCCAGCTGCTGATCAATGGAGGACACAGCAGAAGAGGAGAAAGAAAGCTCATTGAGCGAGTCTGATTGTGATGTAAGTAGCGACTAATATCGACCAATATCCGATCCGATCCACGTCCAACCTTGTTTTATATTCAAGGAACTCGTTCATTTGGCTTGCACGGAGTGCTTCAATGTGTTCCCTCCAAGTGACTTTGAGGGCCAGCTGGACGAGTTCCGCATGTGTCGTCCGTGTATATATCGGAATCCGGAGCTATGGAGGTTCTTGAGCAAGTACATATATTACCCAATAGACGCGGTCACGCCCTTGACTCCACTGCAGAAGGTGGTTCAGAAATGTGAACTGATGATCCTCAAGCTGAAATTCTCCACGCGTCAATACGACAAGATCTTCACACAAGATTCGCTGGCGCGCAAGGATCGGGCCACAGAGCTCTTGACAGAATTGATCGTGAAGTTTCAGGACTTCGAAAGCTGCACGCTGCTAGCCAAGAATTACGACGAAGTGTTAAAGATCATAGAAGAAGAAGAACAAAGAGCGCAGGCAGCTAAAGAGATAAGGCGACAAGAAAGACACGAACGCAATCAACAGAAAAGACAACGGAGAGAAGAAAAACTAGATCGCAGACAACAGAGAGGTCTAGAACTACTACGCAAAAGACAACAAGAAAGAGAGGAGCTGGAAAAGCGACGACAAGAAGAGCAACGGCAGAGGGAACTAGAAAAAGAGAAGGAGCAACTAAAGCAACAAATGCTGCTAAAGCAGCAACAACAACAACAGCTAGAACAACAACAACTAGAACAACAACAACTAAAACAACAACTAGAACAACAACAACTAGCACAACAAGACCCAGATTGGCAAGCAGAACAAGAGCGACGACTGCAACGAGATCTGAGTAATAAGAAATGGCAGAAAAAACAACAAAAAAAATGGGAAGAACAAATACAAAGGGAACAAAGGAAAATGCGAATAATGGAAGAAAGAGAAGCAGAATACCAAAGTGCAAGAAAAGAAGCCGAGAGATTGGTAAAAGAGAAGTATGACAAAATGAAAATAGAGGTAGATAAGGAAAGACAAGAATGGATCAAATATCAACAAGAACTAAAAGAAACTCTACATAAACATAACCAAAAAGCGATGGCTAAACAATCGGATATATTGAAAAAGCAAGAAAATCCAAAATGGCAAGCGAAGCATCAGCCCCTAAGAGAGCAACTAGAAAGACAGAAGGAGCTAAACCATAAGTGGCAGGCAGAGCAGCAGCTATTAAAGGAGAAACAACAACAAGAAGAACTAGAACAGCAACGGCAAAAGCAACAAGAACAATGGGAGAAACAACAAGAAACACTCAAGAAAAAACAAGAAAACCCACTATGGCGAGCACAACAACAACGAAGATGGCAGATGTGGCAAAAGCAACAACAACAACTCAAGATATTGCAAGCAAACCCACGGTGGCGAGCACATCTACAACAAAAATGGCAGCTGTGGCAGAAGCATCTATGGCAGAAATGGCAGAAACACCAACGAGAACTTCGGCTAGAGCAACAGACTCCGCAATGGCAAGCAGAGCAACAACAACAACTAAAACAACAATGGCAAAAGCTGCAATGGCAAAAGCATCAAGAAAAACTACTCAAGCTACAACAACCAAACGAACAACAACAACAACCAGAAAACCAACAACAATCAAACGAGCAACAACAACCAGGAAACCAACAACAACAACCAGAAAACCAACAGCAACAACCAGAAAACCAACAACAGCAACAACCACCAGAAAACCAACAACAACCAGAAGACCAACAACAACAAAGCAACCCACAACAACAACAAGAAAACCAACAACAACAACCAAACCAAGAAGACTGGAAAACACATAACCGTTTATGGCAACGCATGGTACAACATCATCAATGGAAAAAGCAACAATTGCTAGAACAGCAACAACCACCAGAAAACCAACAACAACAACAACAACCAGAAAACCAACAACAACAACAACCAAAAAACCAGCAACAACAACAACCAGAAAACCAGCAAAAACAACCAGAAGACCAACAACAACAAAGCAACCCACAACGACAACAAGAAAACCAACAACAACAACAACACCAACAAGAAAACCAACAACAACAACCAAACCAAGAAGACTGGAAAACACATAACCGTTTATGGCAACGCATGATACAACATCAACAATGGAAAAAGCAACAATTGCTAGAACAGCAACAACCACCAGAAAACCAACAACAACAACAACAACCAGAAAACCAACAACAACAACAACCAAAAAACCAGCAACAACAACAACCAGAAAACCAGCAAAAACAACCAGAAGACCAACAACAACAAAGCAACCCACAACAACAACAAGAAAGCCAACAACAACAACCAAACCAAGAAGACTGGCAAACACAACACCAATTATGGCAACGCATGCTACAACAACAACAATTGAAAAAGCAACAATGGCTAAAACAGCAACAAGAACTACTCAAACAACAACAGGAAAATCTGCAACAAAACCAGCAACAAGAAAACCAACCTCAAGAAAGCCAAGAAAAAGAAAGCCAAGAAAAAGAAAGCCAAGAACAAGAAAGCCAAGAGCAAGAAAAACAAAAGCGACTACAGCAACGACTAGAACGCCAAAGAGAATGGGAAGTAAAAAAGCTAACGTATCGCATACAACTACGAAAACAATGGAAACACGTACTAGAAGCACAACGTGAGCAAAGGAAAAGATGGCAAAGCAAAGCAAAAAAATTAATAAAACAACAAAAGAAAAAGTACAAAATAAATCGACAGCTACAACAAAGCCAACAACAAGACCAAGAACAACAAGACCAAGGACAACCAGACCAACAACAACCAGACCAACAACAACTAGACCAACAACAACCCGACCAACAACAAGACGAAAGACAACCAGACCAACAACAAGACGAACAACAACCAGACCAACAACAACTACACCAACAGCAACAATATCAACAACTACCAGACCAACAACAACAATACCAACAGCTACCAGACCAACAACAACTAGACCAACAACAACCCGACCAACAACATGACGAACAACAACCAGACCAACAACAACTACACCAACAGCAACAATATCAACAACTACCAGACCAACAACAACAATACCAACATCTACCAGACCAACAACAACCCGACCAACAACATGACGAACAACAACCAGACCAACAACAACTACACCAACAGCAACAATATCAACAACTACCAGACCAACAACAACAATACCAACAGCTACCAGACCAACAACAACTAGACCAACAGCAACCCGACCAACAACAAGACGAACAACAACCAGACCAACAACAACTCGACCAACAACAACCAGACGAACAACAACTAGACCGACAACGACCAGACCAACAACAAGGCGAACAACTACAAAAACTAGGATGGGGAGCACTAAAAAAACAGTATAAATTACAAATAGACCAACAATGGCGCCGCCTACTAAAAACACAAAAAGTGCATAGGGATAATTGGCATAAACAGGCAATAAACCTACTAGCAGAAGAACTGCAAATGTACCAACCAAACCCAGAAGAAAACGAAATAGAAACATTCGAGCAGAAATGGAAAGCACAAGCAGATGTAAGGGCAAGCTTGCTACAACAACAATATTGGCAAATAAAAGAACTAGAAAGACAAAAAGAAGAAGAAAGCAAACCAAAGCGCAAAAAACTATGTTACCAACAGCATAAGCTACAGCGTAAACAAGAGGGTAAAGAACAGCGTGAGCAACAGCGAAGGAAGAGACTTCGAACGAAGCGAGTGCCTGTAACCAAATCAGAATCAGTCAAACAATCAACTAAACAAGCAATCAAAAAAACAATCAAAGAATCAATCAAGCAATCAGACAAGCAATCTATCAAGCAATCAATCAAACATTCAATCAAACAATCAAGCAAACAATCAATCGAACAATCGAACAAGCGATCGATCAAACAATCAAACAAGCAAGCAAGCAAACAATCAAACGAAACATCAATCAAAGAATCAAATGAACCATCAATCAAAAAATTAATCAAACATAAAATTAAACCAGCAATCAAACAATCAGGCAAACCATCAATCAAACAATCAAGCAAACCATCAATCAAACAATCAAATAAGCCATCAAACAAGCCATCAATCAAACAACCAAACAAGCAATCAATCAAACAATCAAACGAACCCTCAAATAAAGAATCAAATAAACCATCAGTCAAACAATCAGTCAAACCATCCATCATACAATCAAACGAACCTTCAATCAACGAATCAAACGAACCATCAATCAGACAACCAATCAAACTAACCATCAAACTATCAAACGTACCATCAATCAAACAATCAAGCAAACAATCAGTCAAAAAATCAATTAAAAAACCAAATAAACAATTAATCAAGCGATCAATCAAAAAATCAGAGAAACAACCAATCAAACAATCAAACAAACCATCAAACGTACCATCAGTCAAACAATCAATCGAAAAATCAATCAAAAAATCAGATAAACAATCAAGCAATCCATCAATCAAACAATCAAACCAAGAATCAACGATCGGTAGCAGCAAAATAATAAAAAACAAATAAAACACAATATATATGTGATTGAAGTACAAATGAACAGAATATGGAATACATAATAAATAAAAAAAAAAAGACACAGAGAAATTATGAGTCTCCTTTTAGCTTAGAGGGCATTGAACACAGCGTGGATATGAGCAATGCGATTTCATATTTATCAGTCTCAACGCAAACTGTTATTATATATGTATGTATATACCTATATCTATTTATCCATATCTATAGCCATCAATGTATATATTTATACATCTATATATCATGCTCGTAAGTCTATCTATCTATGTATAAAAATCTATAACTATAAGTCCGTCTATCTACAACTATTTCTTTATCTACATACATATATATATATCTCTGTCGTTATTTGTCTATTTACATTTTTATCTACATATCTATGCAAGTTCCCTTTAAAGAGGTATTTAATATTTGGACGTGCCCTTTTTATCCGCCATTTTGTTTTCGCTTTGCATTCGACGAAATTGAATTGCATTTGATGCCATTCAATTCAACTTTTAAGCAACTCAATTATTGGCCATCCAATGCAGATGCAATGCAGCCAAACACATTCTCTCCCACACACTCCGGCACACGCAGACAAATACGTAATGGCATTTAAACGTTGGATAGTTTTTATCTTATATTTCGATACACGCAACAAAAAATACAAAAGAAGCTGAAAAAAAAAAAAAATGTTTCCGAAACAACAGAACAGGGTAAAACGCCCCAACTCAAGTGCAGAATTACGGAAATTAATTTTGAAGCATGTTCTCTTAACTTTAATGAGATTTACGTGTGCGTGGCTGTACATGTGTCTGTGCGTGTGCGTGCGTGTGTGTGTGTGTGTGGCTTTAGTGGGTTAAGCGGCTTATGATGTTGCTAAGTGACAAAAGAGCAAACTACCAAGTGCCAAAAAGCATAATTAGTTGCATGCAACAGCAGCCGCACGCACACACACACCCACACACACACAGTATGCCAACCACGCCCTCCTCCCATATAAGCAGAGTTGGTCACTTAGTTATATATTATTTCTCATCATTTTTTTTATTTTTGCTGGCAATAAACTAAAACTATTCGAGCACTAAATTGAAAACAAAGCAGGTCAAAAACCATAAAGTAAGTCCGTCTCTCTCGCTCACTGCCTAACACTGTCTGTCTCACTCTTTCAGCCTTTCACCGCCGCTGCCTATCCGGGTGTGTGTGTGTGTGTGTGGGGCCAATTGTTTGAAAATAATAATTTAAAGCGATTAAAATAAAACATTAAAATACTGAAATTAATATATAAACGCATTTAAATAGTTTCTAAATAAATGATTACGCCAAATTAAACAATCAAATTGCGTAGAACTTTTCATATGAAAAAGGGAAATTTGGAAAATAAATTTGTTGCAGCTGAGCTTTGGAATTTATCCGGAGCTATGCGAATGGGTGGATGAGCAGGCAACGGATTAGATTCATTTTTCATGTGATATGAAGGTGATATAATATATGTTATATATGCTTGATGTGGATATCTATTCTTATACATCATATAATACTCAACTCTATTTAGGGTTTGCATTTGCAAATACTTTTCCAGTTTCCTGTGGTCCTCTAACAGCTCGGAATAAGATGTGGAAGGCTTTGAGCTGAGGTGAGGATGAGCAAATGAAATGAGACAGTCTGGTAAATGGGATGGATACATGTCCTTTATGAACATATACTATAATTAATATATAATACATATAGAAAATTAATATATATTTTATATTTAATAGAAAGGTTTTAATAGAGCAGGAGCAATCCAAATGTTTCCTTTGTGTTGTTCTTTTCTTAATTGTATTTTTTATGTTATGCGTAAGTCGAGAGCAAGCTAATTATTATACGCGAAATAGTATGATAATATATCGTAATAGCAGTAGTAGTACATATCAATTATATTCAGTGGATTCCAAAAGGAAATCCCTTAGTATGAGTCTAGCTCGTATATTCTTTGCCCGATTTCGACCTCCACTCGAGTTTATCATGATAATATAATACATATAACATTATCAAAGTTTTCACGGGAATCCGATAAAAGACTTCTTCAGCTTACCTCGTGTTTTCTCTGCCCGATTTGCGACTCAACTAAATTTTTCAATTCGTTAGAAACACAATTCTTGAACGACATTCAAAACTTTGGGAATTATACTTTATAATAAAAGACTGGTCGATAATAATATGTCTAGCTGAGAGCAAGTCTAGTATCCGATAATGCAATCCATACATACATACACCAGTGGCCATAAAAATACTAGTATTAGTAAGTGATTTGAGAACTGATAGGAAAAAGGAATATTAAAATTTATTCATATTATTATATATTATATTTATTTATCGATATTGAGGCTAAAGCTATACATGTCCAACATTTTGAACTCAGTTGCAATACTATTTTAATGAACATTTTATATAACAAATACTAACACATATATGGTATACACACACGATACGCTTGGTTTTATGTCAAAGACACTCAAAAGCCTTTGCCAGATAAACTTCGGAATGCTAGAAAATTGAATTCGTAAGTCAGGCAAAGAGAGACAGAGAAAATGGTGAGAGAGAGAGAGGGCGAGCAATGGTGTGAAATGCAAAGAAAGAGAACGGAGAACAAAAAGTGAATTAGTGGGCAAACAACTGAAACTAAAAACTAAAACTAAAAACTCAGCAAGATTAATAGGAACACGTAAAATGTAATTATTTTCCTGTACTTGTGCTATTTGTTACTTCGCTACAAAAGGGCGCTAGAAGGGACAAGGACGAGGCGAGGACAGCTACGCACACACACACACAGCGACAGAGATAGAGAGAGAGAGAGAGAGAGCGAGAGAGATAGAGTGGGAAAGAGATGAAGACAGGCAGTCAGACGCGCTCGACTTGACAACTTGGAGCATTTTTCCCAGACACGTTGCTGAGACAGCAGTCAGGACAGAGAGGGATACACACACACATGCAGCACATGTCGCTGCTGGCGTTTAGTGTGCACGTGTATGCGTGTATCTATGCGTCTGTGTGTGTGTGTGTGTAAGTTGTTTCGCCCCAAGTAGTTTTCTTGTGTAATTATAATTGCATAATTTATTTATAATATGATTTTCATGCTGTTTTCCCTCGCACACACACACACACACACGCAGCGAGCACTCCTGGAGCCACAGTTGAGGTTCGTGCTGGGACTAGATGGACGAAGTGGAGCAGCAGCTCTGGCTGCACAGTCAGCGAAGCTCGTGCGTTTTACATTGGTTTAGTTTATGTTTCAGCAAA